ATATAGATATATATAGATATAGATATATATAGATATAGATATATATAGATATGTATACACAAAACCAGAATATGAAGAACACATGGAACACAAAAAGCAGGGTGATAGTTTTTTGTATTAAAAGGAATTTCTTAATTAAATCTAAGCATCCTATGAATAAAAATAATCTATAGTGATATAATCTATAATCTATAAACCATAACCATGCAAAATCTGAAACTGTCAATTAAAATCGGAAAAGTTAGAATAAACAAGATTAACGTGAAAAATTTCTGGAGCAAATTATTCTCCCTGGACAAATACCTTGAAAAAATATGTTCGAGCAGCGTTGATTATCATAGTTCCGCCCAGTTCTATTTTTTTTTAAATCTGTGCATTTTGATGTATATTTCATTATTTGATTTATAAAAAAACTAATCATTTATAGCTCTGTGGTATTGTTTTTAAGTTTTAGCGAAATGAAGTGAAAATAAAAATCTGGGTACTACAATCATTCTTCCTCTATCATATTAAATGTTATAAAACATCAAATTCAGCAAGTAAGTGAGAACAATCTCGACTTTATCATGACCTTTTGTTTTGCATTATAATAATAAAATATTGAATGAAGAAAACTTTTTCAAAATATTTGAAATTTCTGTTACCGCTTCAAGTCATAATACTGCTTATCACAATTATGTATGAAAGGTGAGCATGAATTATCGTAAAACTTACAATCACAATACTGTTTTAAATATTGGTTATATAATAAGTTGTTTCATAATTGGTTTACTCATATTTCCATACTTTGAAATAAGATTGTATTTTTTGGTAGAGCTACAAATGTATTTAATATATTTAACAATAATAACTATTATAATAGTATATATTTATTTAAAGTGCAGTGTTCAGCATTAAAGGGAATTGAATTATGAACATAAAATTATGAAAATGGATGTTAAGTCTAGCTCCCTATATAACACTTAGGTCAAAGTTTATTTAGACATACTTGGGAAAGAATGAGACATGTATTGGTTTTCATTTCTTATTTGACATTATATATTCATTTTTATTTTATATTATAGTATCTAATCATTTCTTATTTTATATTATAGTATCTAATCATTTTTTATTTTATATTATAGTATCTAATCATTTCTTATTTTAGATTATAGTATCTAATCATTTCTTATTTAATATTATAGTAAAATTTCGAAGAATAACTAAGAAAGATTATTATTTAATTTTCGAACCTAAACCAAATATTTAGGCAAATTTTAATTTTACTCTGAGAGTTATTAATTTCAGATGTCGCATCATAAATTTTAGAGATTACTGCGCTCTTAAAATTTCTCTAAAATACTGATGATAACGGCCTCAAGGTAATTAAATCCTAGTGATTTTCCGAAAACAGGTTTATAACTTAAAAATAACTAATGATAAAAGAATTACAAAACTTCTACAAAATAAATAACTACTCAAGAAAAATAGCACTATTCAATAAAACAAAGATATTCTGCCATACATGAGAAAACATATTTTATATATTACGAAGCAAACAAAGTGAAAAAAAATTATAATGCTGTAAATAAAACTGAAAAACTTGAGCATGTATTTGACTAATTAAATCTTAAGAGAGGATGAATTAATATTTGTATTCTGAATTAATGATAATATTTTAGAAAATTGCTTACGTGTTTTTGTTCTGATGGTAAGATATTTAGGGCATTTAAATACTTTAACTTTCTAAATATTGTTATGGTGTTTTTGACTTTAGTGTCTTGCGAATATAAAACTGAGTACTTAAGTTTGAGGAGAACGTCTTTCCATAAAATATTTATAAAACTTGTTGTAACATTAAAAATATGTTATGCTACTGAAAGTTTTGTTAGTGCCAACCAAGCATACTAGAAAAATATTTCTTATAACGTTATTTTGTGTAAAGTAGTTTACAAATATGAACCAGAAAACGGAATTTTAAAGATTAATAATAAAAATGCATTTCGAAAACGAAGAAAATAAACAGGCTGCTGAATAATTTTTAATGATGGTGAAAACTTTTAAAAAAGTTTTAAAAATCATTAAATCAGAACTTGAGGAAATGCATTATTTATAATTTTAAGCATTCAAATTTATAAAGGTATCGCACTTCATTAAAATCTCTTAAATTATATTTAGTGATATTTGATAATTCCATAAATATCTATTTTCAATTGATTCGGAAACAGGAGCAATATATCACACCTTGCTTAGTGCTATGTTTGGATTTCGCAACATTTTCATCTTGCTTCAAAAATAGTTATTTGAGTATCTAAAAACGGATACATCGTGTGAAAAAAATATGAAACATTCATATTCGGTTATTTACTCTGTTTCTTTGCAAGGATTGGTGCAATATAATGCTGTATCACATTTTTAAAATTGTTCAGGAAAGTATTTTTGGGAAAAAATAAGAAAATTCATGTAGGCAATATGATGCTTCTTTCCAAGCTGCTCTTTTCTAGTAAAAAATTACAGAAACTTGTAAAACATTTATTTCGTAACAATATTACTCTGAAAAATTGCGTCATAATAGCTCAAAAACAAATAATAGTTGAATTTGAGGGAAATGATTGTTTGCTTCCGGCAGGTTTCGAGCCAAGGACCGTCAAGTTTGTAGTAGGATGCTCTAATCGCTGTAATTTCATAGACCAGCACAGCTGCGCGGGGTTTTTCTCAAAAAGGAGTATATTCAATTTTCAATACAGGGAATAATTTGACTATAATTACTTTTGGAGCTATTTTGACACATTTTTGTTCACCTTTTTATAATGACATTTTAAAATGTTATTTGGAAAAGAAATGTGCATTTTCGTTGTATTGCCTGAAAATTTCCATGCCAACAGTTTTTTTAATGATTTTTTCTTAAATAATTAACTCTTTTCATATATATTCCTTTTTAAAAATTTTAATTGTATTTTAAAAAATCTGCACGCTGTTTCTTCATTTAATGCTTAAAGTCTAAAATTAAACAATTATTTCAATTATGCAGACCTCAATTTCTTATAAGAATTGTAACAAACATGTAGAATTCATCGAAACTTTAAATTTCAATTTTTATAGACCAATGCATTACTTGTGTATTGAACATGAAAAATTTGAAATGAAGCAATGTTTTGCATATAAACGATTTTGATCACTATTTAAAATTATATTCTATGACAATGACTAAATAGATGCAATTTGAATACATATACTAAATAAATGATTAATGTTAATGTTTCGTAAACAAATTCAATGGTGCTTGAAACAAGATTGAATGACAGGATAATAATTGCATGCCAGCCCTACTATTTAATGAGAAATACTTTATAAATTGATAAGGAAATCAATTTGTGAAAATAGCTAGTTAGTATTATTTTTTCTGTTATTTTTATCATCGGTGTTTTAAGACATATTTACAATAAAATTAAATGGCTCGTAAAATGTCTGAGTTTCAAAAAAAGCAATTTAATGCTTCAATCAAACACTGTCGTTGAAAACAGCTGTTGTCATTTAACAATAAGGGATAAGTATTGAACGAAACAGAAAAAAAAATTATTCAGTTTTAAGAGGACCTAAATTTGATTTTGTTTCTAATGTTAAGTCAGAAAAATGCAAATCATTAGTTCACTCAAATTTGATGAGTTTCTTAATTTTGTTCGAATATTATCTTAATTTATTTCTATACTGCACTTCTTTTTTCTATTAAACTTTGTTTTGAAATGTTAAAATGATAGTTTGCTAATTTCTATCCGATGTTAAAAATTTTAGAAAGTATGAACCATAATATCGCTAAAATTTCCTGCAACCATACTTGGGTACTTGAATGAACTATTTTAATGTACTTTTTAAACATAAATAAATATTAGTATGTCACGCCGCTAAAGTATGCATAGCATATTTTTAATATTTAAACACTAAATAACTATTTCATTTCGTTCTTTTCTCCATGCATAAAAAGCATAAATATGTGTAATCGGTAATCTTACTGTACCACAACCTTAAATTGAGTGCAGAATAAAATCTATTCTTAGAGATTTCCTTTACATGTGCATAACACATTAGCACATAATTTAAAAACCTTTACATGGTTGCTAAATGCTTTTGAATAATTTAAATTCGCAATTATTTGTAAGTTTAAATATCTGACTGTTTGAATTTCCATTTCCCAGGAGCTATACAACCAATTTTACTAAAAAGTTTTTTTTCTCATGTGAAATTATATTCTTTGAAATGATGCAA